AACATCCCCTTTCCTCTTAACAGGTAAAAGCCCTTCACAGGCAGTTAGCAATTGCCTCAACCTTTGACTCCTACCCTCACCCAGTTTAATAAAGCAAGCATTAAGTATGGCAAAAGGAACTGCCAAAGCTTGGCTTAAAGAATGCCAAAAATGCTGCTCATGAAGGCTTCTTCTAGAGGCAACTGCCCTGGTCTATTGGAAACACCCATCCAGCTCTTTTCAGAAATATACAGAAAAAATATGGTATAAAAATTTCAAAGACAGAAGGCACGCAGGCAATGAGCTATTCCTCTGAGTATAAAAGAGACAGCAGAGACTTGTTTCTTCTCTCACAGGAAAACATCATATGTCAAAATAGCAAAAACATCTGCCACAAGCATTACCACCATCATAGATCGGGTCACCATTAACTACCAGCAAAGAAGCCTGATCATTTGCCTCTTTTCTGTCACATAAGACCTGTCTGTTGCTTCGTATACTGTAATACTGTCTCTAGCTTCCATAAAGGCTATTTCAAGCAAACCCATTAAAACCACATCCAGGGATATCTTGTGAACACTGCGAACAGAAATACTGCGTGTGAACAGCTGAGGACATTGTGTCTTTACGGACAGCTTTGCAGGAGCCTGCAGCACGCACACCCCTTGCCCAGAGGCTGGCTCTAGGGGATAGTACTCCGGGTACTCCGGGGAGTACTCAGGGAGGAGCTGGCATGAGCCCAACTCCTCTGAGGGACCGCAGTCCAGGCCAGGGCCTGCAACTTAGCACTTAGCAAAGTGGGAGCCAAGCAAATGCACTGCCTGGATGTCCTGCGTTAGGCTGCTGCAAACAGCACTGCACTGACTTCGCCAGGGAACCTGACCATCTGGTTAAAGAAGGTGGGACCGGGTATTGTCTGAAACTAGAAAGTTGCATGTTTTCATAAAAGATTGGGTTTATAGACATATACATGCAAAACACATGGCTAATCCCAGGTTTCCTGTCATCTTGCATACTGTAACACAGCCAGGTTAGAGGTACTCCTGTATGCATTTCATTTAACGTGAATATACGGACATACCTCCGGCTCAAAAGGGATTTTCCTGGGGCTTGGTAGAAGACCTGAAGCACCCCGTGAGGCTTGCAGAGGCACAGGGCAGTCTGCAGCACAGCCCACCGAGGCAGGAAGAGCCAGGCTGACTTGCAGTGCCACAGCACAGAGCTATCAAGCGGCCAAGCACACTCTCCCTAACCCTGTTCTCCCTCGCTTATCTGTGGAAAGCAACCCAAAACCATATGCAGGCTTTCAGTGTCAGTGCAAGCAGCGTTATTCTTGTAATTAAATGCAGGTCCGCAGCTTATCTGCGAGCAACTCCCCTTCCCCTTTGGCCCCCTCGCCACTCGCCTCTCTGCAACCTTGTTTGGGTTTCCATGCTGCGTCATTAAATTCCACAACACGAAGCTCCCCGCTCTCCGTGCACCAACCTGCTGCTTTCTAAGCTGAAAAATTAGACGTGGGGTTAATGTGGTTCCTCCCAGGACTCTGCGCTTTGTTTTTCCTTTACCTCCAAGTCAAAGGATGCTTTTGGCAGATGCATAGTGGGGAAAAAAAAAATAAACTTCATGTTTTCTCCCCCCGCCCTTGTCCAGAAGGACGCAGCCAGCCAGATCCCAAACTGAAAGCAGCACAAAGCGCCCGTAGAGCCCCACCGCCATGCAGCAGCACCAGGCCGCTTCAGGCTAGCCCAGGAACTACAGCGAGGCCAGGCAGGAATAAACAGAATACACAAAGCATATCCTGTCCCGGCTGAGAGGGGCAAAGGAGAGCAGGGCCTTGCATTGAAATGCAGGGCAGCGGCCCAAGCGCGCGGGAGCGTCCCTGGAGCACCGGGAGGGAAGCAACGCGCGGCCTGCACCTCACAGCAGGGCCCACGGGGGAGAAAGGCATCGCGGGGCGCACGCCTCGGGTGCACTCCCCACGTCATCAAACCATCATAGACAATTCATAGGAGGCTTTGATTTACTTTTGTACTTATTTTTTTTTCCAACCGCTGGCAGCCCCAAAGCCCCCGGCGGCCGCGCGTGTGGAAGGCCCCACTGCGCACACCCGCACGCGTCCTGCCGTGCTGCAGTGCAAACAGACCCGTTGCTTTTCCACAGCTTTCTAGGAAATAGGAACTATACGGAGCAGTGGGAAAACGGTCAGGAGTTCCTAGCAAAATAGTGGTCTGCCTGATGCAAATCCACTCAGTTACTGGAAAAACTGAACAAAGCTGATGCCTCTTTTAAATTTTTTTAAGCATAATCATATTTTCTCCTACAGATGCACCCACCTCAAATTGCTCTCATGCAATGGCAGAATTTTTAATCTAATGTCTTGGACTCAGATAATTTCCCAGCTGCAGAACTGCAACAATTTGGTATCTTCCCATTTTCAAGATAAACCGATTAACATGGATATGCTTCAGTTTCAGGGTGCGATTAGCTGCTTTTATTGTTCTTGAGAGAACACGGGCAACTTACAGTAAAACAACTTTGTTTTCCCCAAGTCAGCTCTTAAAAATCTACTTCTCTGTGACAGAGATAGGTCTTTCCTTTTGCCTTTCATTTCCCTCACCCCTTACCTTTCACTGTCTCTTCCTGCAGGACACTGTATTACAGCAACTCTTGTTTCAGGGATTTCTCAGTCACTCCATTTACTCTATCAATATAAATAACTTTTCTTTCAAGATAAAGAAAAAAAACACATAAAGAAAAAAAATGGAGAAAGCATGAATTTTCTCATTTTAAATATATTTGAAAGTTTATTTTTTTAAAAAAACACTAGCACTCCTGCTTGCACTGTTCATTCACTTTCAGACACACTTACATCATCACCATCATACAGGACAGAAGGACGATAAGGCCTGTTATTCTATTCGTATATAAGGTAAAGCTAGAACCTTCCTTAACTTCACTAGGACTGATCTACTCCCATGTAAGTAGGGGAGAAGGCAACAAAATCCTTGAATGTGTGCCATGAAGAGCTGAAAACACTGTTGCTTCCCACAATTTTGTACAGAGCTTTTGATACTTAAATCCCCTGATCCTGGATTTACTTGATTACATCAGAGGGACTTCCCTCCTCCTCCATTTTTCTCTGTTTTTCTAAAATTCATACTCTGGGAGGAAAACTTAAAAACATGACCTGAGGACACTCCTTGGACTGCAAGGTGTGTTGTAGTGTCTTGACTTCCCTTCCTCTTCTCAGTCTTATTCTAGTGCAGGAGTTTTTGACCTGTGTTGATTCACAGACCAAATACTATCCTGGGAATGTACAAATTACATGAACATAGATTGCTGTACAGTACAAATTACTTCATTCTTTTTAGCCAGAATTCACTGACTCCTGTGAAACACATGGTTCATCGGTTGCAAGCCATGATCATAAAAGCAGCCCTCCAACTACAAGTGCATTGCTAAGAGGGCAACCATGAGAGCAGATCCCAAAAACACAACAAAATGTGTAAGGGGAGAAAGAAGAATCAAGAAGAGCCTGGGCTGATCCTCCCCACTGCCACAGTGGCAGAACAAGAGAGGAGATAGATGGCAAAATGCTACAGTGCTAGAAATACAACCTGGTGGAGCTCATGTTTTTAAATCACTTAACACCATTTAAAAATCCTGTTGAGTTCTCATATCTTGATATTCCAAGATATAACATCACAACTACTTTTATTTTTACTAAAGTATAGTAAAATTTAAATTTCTTCCTCATCCTGCTTTAAGTGAATTTAATTAAACTGATTCTCTTTGTGGAACAGAACTTTGGTAACGAAATTTGACTAACAGATCTCAGAAAATGGCTTATAGAAACTTTCCCCTTACATAGTAGTATGAGGTAAACCCATCTATAATGTGTTGGAATAACTTAGTGTCCAGGCAGTTTTTACTAAAGCAAGTGTTAGCAGGTGACTAATTATAATTGGATTTTGTCAAAGAGCCACAGAACAAGTGACTTCATGGCATCCAGCTGAATTTAAACCTGAACAGTGAAGGAGAACAGGTCTGTAACGCCACATAACCACATTGTGTGTGTGTATGTTAAAGTCACCCTCCATTTGCAGCTCAAGTCTACCTTTTATGCTATCCCCTGAATGAACTCAAATGCACATGTAAAAATGGTATTTAAATGGGTTTTATCAAATAATGAGTCACATATTGACTGAACAATCACCATGAAGACAAACATAAGAGGCACTATATTTTCATTAATAATTTAAATCTCAGGGTGGATATGTTGATGACTATGCACTTAAAAGAGGGAATTTCATTTTGCTTTAAGAGTCCATCCAGAAAACTGGCAGGTCCTCATTATTAACAGAAAAATTATTAAAACTGAGTAATTCTTATTAACAGAGCTTGGACTCACAGAAAAATTATTAAAACTGAGTAATTAACAAGAAAAGCAAAGCATTAATATACTTAATGACAGGGAGAGGGGCAGAAGAGTAAGGGAAGGAAATCTCGTGCAGGATCCCCCCTCTCTCCCTGTCCCCCACCTAAGGCAGTAACACTTGTGGCACAGAGCAATAGCTTTCAGTGCTATCTAATTCCAGTTACTGGGGAGGGACAAGCAACTTTACAAGTTTATATAATAAATGTGTGTGATCAGCAAAAACACAAACAAAAAGGTACTATGAACCAAAACCACTCAGCACAAACCAGTTGGGGCTAGTCAACATAATCAGCTCTGTTCACATAACTAAGTTTGCTTCAACAAGGGCATGAACTTTCCTGGAAAAGCTCAGGTAATTAACTGCAGAGGCTTACACATTTTCTTTCTCTCGAGTTGATTTCCTCCCATAATTAGTGCTTCTTGTACAAAACTATTTCTACTGATTAACTCAAAAAGGTGAGTGCTCTTTCCACAGGCAGGCCCTTATTGAGAGGATACCATGAAAGAGTAGATTTGAATTCCTCCTATGTCTTATCTTCTCTTCCCATTATTTTGGATGGGTACAAACAAAAGTGTGTCTTACCTCTTGAAAAAAGAGCAGGTTTCCAATGAAAGGAAGAGGTGGAGGATGTCGGATCCCTACTTTGGCTAGTCTGGAGAATGCAGAGGTGGAATACCTGAAAATAAATGAATAAATAATAACAATAAAAATAGGGCTGTAAGCTAAATCTGGTTCTTGTCATGATATGACTTCTCGGACTTCTCCATTTCTTTAGATGGACTCCCTGAATTCAGGGTGGGAAAAGATGCTCTCTGAATTGGACAGATGATACAGCTAGTGTGGTGGCATTGCTTTCAGCAGCTACTAGGTCACAGAAATAAATATAACAGTGGTGCTTCAGAGGGACAGCAGAATAGAGAGACTCCAACACAGACCTGCAAACTTGGGCAGTGGAATCAGAGATCCACAGAGGGTTGTGTAAAAAGCAAAAGCAACTCCCTATAGCTACACCAAGTTACAGTGAGATCAACACATGCATTTGGGTTTTGACTATTGTGGCACAGCTGGGGAAGGAACAATGCAGATCCTCAGACTCTATTATTTCCTTCTTCTTCCATCACCACTACCTATACAGATCACACAACAAGAATTCAAACCAGTTTCAGTTGCATATGAGCCAAGACACTGTCAGTATTTTCAAATCAAGCCTAGTATTTGGGGCCAGATATGCTGATTAAGTGATTTTCCAGCTGCCAGTCAGCAAATTAAACAAGGATAAAAATACAGAGAAACAAAACCCAGGCTGAAAAGCTTCATGCATCCTTTACTGCAGATGAAACTGAGGCATGTTGACAGGGACAATGCCGAAAAAGTTACAAAATAATCACAAAAGCTTTTTTTTTTTTTTAATCCCCTCTTTCTTCACATGAAGAATTGATTTATGATAGTGGCAAGATTGAACAGGTACAGTTGCATTCAGCAAGGGACACAATAATACTAAATACTGTCTTGCCGCATACCGTTACTGTAAGGTGTGGAGCAAAAGGTTGTTAAGATTAATAAAGGCTACATCTGTATTAACACTAGTTTTAAAGCATCCTCCCAGGCATCCCCGACTTTTTGGGCAATGGTTCCATTCTTGGGACCGATCCCCTTTGAGAGGGAATTAAACTTGCAGCTGTGCTCTGACCCCCCAGCTCTTACTGAGGCAACACCATTGCAAACTATCCAGCCATCCCTCCCAAACGCAAAAGGAGCTGCACTTGGAAGCACGGATTGGACTCATTTGGTTCCAGGGATGAAATTAAATCAAACCCCAGATAAAAAGCCTGAAGTGCAGAGTGTAAATGCAGGGGGCACAGCACCAGCTGCCTCAGTCCCTTGCGTCCCACCTGCTGCCTGTGTTACGTGATCATTCAGTCCCAGCCAGAATCAGTCTGCTCAGGTCCCAAGGAGCTGACTCCTCTTAACCCCAGGAGCCGTCCTGCCGACTCCAAGGGCCTCAACTCACCCACTGCAATGACTTGGGCACTCTCCTCCCCCAGGTCCAATGACCTGCATGCGCCTTATTTAAAACACCCTCCTTGATGCAGGCAGGAATATTGTGGCTTATCCTAACAGAGAAACAGCACCCAAGTCTTTTGGAGCAGGGAAGATGGGGGAGAGAAAAGAACGCTTGTTAAGAGAAAATGGTCCTTTCTTCTATCTGTGAGGGGAAAAAAAAAAGAAAAAAAAAAAAGGATGCTGGCAAACGAAACATATGAAATAGCAAGAATTAAATCTCACATGACCAGCAAAACAGAATGGGGCTTAAGTATCTAGTTAATAGCTTTGGGCACTTTGGTTTCCTGAGAAAATTTCCTGCAACACAGTACCTATTAATGGGTTTTCTTTTGTGAAGGTACTTTACAAAAATTACAGTCAGAAGATACAGATTTGATCATTTTTTAAATAGCAACAATGTTCTCTCTGTGTGACAATACAAACCTTCGGAAGCACAAAGTCTGAATAAAAACTATGCGTCTTCTGGTATATGCAAGAGTACTGTTTTATCATTGACAAGGTGTTGTGAAAAAAGGTACATAAGTCACCATTTACTATAAATTTTATATATATTGCTGACTTTTTGGTTATTTAACTGCTTTTAAAAATATGAGATTTTTATTGAAACAGTTAATACTCTAGGGAAAAATATGTTTTAACTTGAAAACAACAAACAGCCTACACGATCCATTTTCTTCCTCCAAAGACAGGAAGGTTCTTTTGCTGCTGTTTGAAACCTGCCTGAAGTGTCTTTGTGTCATAGCAAAGTCCCCATCTCCTGTATGTAAACAGAGGAAAAGATGACTGTTCTTCTCTCAGTGAAAAACAGTCAATTTTGCCACATTTTATCCTTGATGTTTTTACTGTTTGGAAAAAAAATAAAAAGGAGAGATTGCAAAACACCAGACTGAGCTGCGGTTAACTCTGAATTTCACTATGGACTGGACACTCTGCAGACTCCTGATCTTCATATATTGAAAATGGAAATGCAAATGTAAGAGACTACCATGCCACTCAACGTAAATGATGATGACCAAATATTTAAAAAGGACAACAAAACTGAGTGCAGTGCTTGAAGCTCAGCACCCAGATTCATTAGACCAGAACCATATCCAGGCTCTGAAAACTATTGGTCCTTAGATGAGTAGCTCATCTCTGTCAGCTGCTGAACATTCATGGCAGCTCCATACAACTGAGAATTTGCTTTTCTTTTTCCTCTTAACGCACAGTTCTCTGATGCTTTTTATTCAGTTACATTTGAAGGAGGTTTTCAAAAGGCAGGGAAACATGGTTTACAATGAGATGGGAAACAGAGAAGCAGCGTAGTCAAGCTGCATGCTCAAATATGACAACTAAAGGGCAGGGCCAGCAGGAAAAGAAGGCAATCTCATCAGCACACTCATATAGCTTCGTTCTGTGATCCGCAAGATTTCCGCTATTGTTGAAACATCTGCAGTTCGGCAGAAATGGAGACAAGATGCAACTTGCACCGTTATTAATGTAACAGCTTATGTTTTGCAATCTTAAACAGAGTCTAAAGGGTTTGGGTTCTAATCACCCCCTTTCCCTCTCTTCTTCCACAGTGTTTCAGGTCATCCTCTTTACCTAGCGGAGTGAGCACCGGCACGGCTTGTGCACACCCATCTGGGAAAGCTGCGCTTCTAAATGAAACAGCTTCCAGGCTGCCTCATTAGTAGCAGGAAGAGGTTTTTTTCCTCCTACCACACTTCTCTCTTAAATTATCACCAAAATTAGTCCTTATCAGAATTCCAGACCTTCCAGATATGCAGTGCTGGGCCTGTCTACATTTCCTGACGGTTGAAGCTCAGCCAAGAGCCTAACGAATAGAAGAGATGAGTCAAATGCAAAAAACTGCTGGCCTTTTCCTAGGCTGAAGAGTATTTACTGGGGAAAAGCAAAGGGGGGAAAATGTTACACACAGCTTTGAGTATTGCTCAAAAACTTGCAATTACATTTTTCTTCTTAAATACCACATGCAGATCTGGTGCTGCATCTCAAAAGATTTAGAAATCGAGGAGATGCTGCAGTGGTGGCCAAGATGAGCAAAGATATGGAACAACTTCTGTACAAGGAAGAAGCAAACAAACTAAAACTTTAAACTTGGAGAAAGAAGTGGCTGCAGAGGCAAAGGATAGATATATTTAAGATCCTGCACGGCATAAAGAAGATATTTCAAGAGTAGTAACTACATCTAAAAAGGACACTAGTAAATATGCAGGTGGTGTGAGAGAAAATGAAGCACTTTTTCACATAATAATTAGTCTAACTTCGGAACTCCTTGTCAGAAGAGGTTGTGTATACCAGAAATTTAAAAAGTTAATGGCCGGAAAACTCACCAAGAATATGAAGTGCAAAAATGTAATGTATATATTGTTGTATATTTGCCTCATTTTTCTGCTTTTTCTGTGAGCACCTGATACCACTGTCAGATAAAGAGTGTAGATATATTCTTTGGTCTGAGTACATCCACTCCTCTTATCTTCATACTTGCTTGAATGTTTGGGTTCCCTCCTCCGAATGAATCCTATAACCCAAATGACTTGTATTTGTGACTCAGGTTTGGGGACATATACAGTCTCTCTGAAATGTATTCTTAGGCTAAAATACTTAAAAGGCTGTATTTTTGTCATGCCGTGCATCCTGGACTGAGGGACACCTGAGTAATGGCTGAATGAGCTATCAATCAGCCGGCACCTTTAATTCATTAATTTGACAGATGTAGAAGATACACAGGGCAAAGATAAAAGGAAAAGGGTGAAAATAAATCTAATCCTTCTAATTTGCTTTCATTATCCTTAGACAGGGCACCACTCTGCGAGCTTCCCATAGCAAAACAAGAGATCAGACCATTACAAAACCTAAAAGACAAAACCTCAGATGCTTCAGTGTTGTTAAAATGAAGTCAGAAGGAGTCTTTGTGGAAAGGGAAGGGCACGAAAAAGGATGAAACTGCAATGGCGTGGAAAGGGTACGGCACGAAAAAGGATACGGCACGAAAAAGGATGAAACTGCAATGGCGGCAAGATAGAAGGGACAAGGAAAAACTTGCAGCACCTTCTCACTCTTAAGGAGAAACATACCCTAATATTTACACATGTAGGGCTTCCTGCACAGCTATTAATTTAAAGCCTTACTATTGTATTTGGTACAAGGTGACAAGACATCAAAAGGAACCAGAGGAACAAGAGTAATGAAGCAGATCAATAAACAACTCAATAATTCTTTGAAGACATTCAAATGGCCTCTCAGAGCTACACGGTCCCCATGACTGTTAAAAGAAAGTACCAAACGTACCAAATACATTCCTACAGGCCAGCAAGGCTGATTTAAGCTCTCTGAAAAAAATGAGCTTCCCTCCAAAAACCACCATGCAAAAACAAGGAAAAACAATCAAACCCAAAGATAATCAGCTTAAGTTGCAATAGACATATAAGTGACAGAGCTAGCTATGCTCCACAGGGCAGTACTAACTGGAACTGCAAGAGCACTACGTGGCCTACACTAAGTGCAAGCAATTTCTATAGCAGGTAACACTCAAGAATCAATAACTCTGCTTCACAGAGCTCCACTACTGTGGAAATCACCCCAAGTTTTTCCCTCAACAGAAACTGC